CCTGTTTCGACGCTCGCTCGCTTGCTACCGCGGCCGAATGACCGACCTCCGAGGGAGCTACACCCGGGTGTTGTCTACAAAGTGTCGTGTTCTGGGTGTCCAGCCTGCTACATAGGCGAGAGCAAGTGTTTCCCGGAAAGAATGCGCCAACACAAGAACGACGTCAGGAAGATGGAAGTGCAACGTAGCGCTCTGGCGGAGCACTGCGAGAAGCACGACCATAAAATTGACTTAGACGGCGCTTCTGTTATTGAAACAGAACGTAATTTGGGAAAGAGGCTCTTGCTCGAGTCTTGGCACATTCAGCATACGCCTGCCAACGTGAACCGCTCGCTGGGAACAATGCCTTCGGTGTACGTTCACGGTCTCCGAAACGTGGTGGAAAGGGAAAGCCGGAGCCGTGGTGAGAGAACACGACGCGACGACGCTTCCATGACCGAGACAGTCACCCCCTGAGGAAGGGACCGAGTCGGTCTCGAAACGTCGGACTCTATTTGAACTGTGGCTGGAGCAATTTTCAATTTTCTAAGGCTCAGATGGCATTTCAACCGCTGCCTCAGCACTGACGACAGGTGACAGCGCAGTCCGACACTTAGGGGCCTCTCGCTTTCTTTTCGCCTGCAAGAAAAAAAAATCAGTTATGCTCCAAAGTTCAGAAGCCGGGTATAATGGTCCCACCCACTGCTTAGACTGACTAGAAACGGGATTACTACCTCGGGGATCTTTTTATAGTTTCGGTGCGGAAGTTTAGCGAGCCCGTATTTATGCACGCACAGTGAAAAAAAAAGTTGGACAAGTAAGTGTACGTGACGTGCGCTTTGTCAGAGAGTGGTGTGATTTTGAACAGCACGTAGGAAACGAGAAACTGTGCCTACACATTCGGAAATCTATAGCCTATTTACCGTAACGAAAATGTACATTCGTGATGGTACTCACTGGTTTCTGGAGATGCGCAGGGAACGCAGGAAAAATGGTAGGAATGCTCCCTGGTCGCAGTCTGGTCGTTTGGCCCGTCCTGTCAAAGCAGTTGGCTTCAAAGTGCTCCGAGCAGATAACGTCCGCATTCTTAGGCTCCCAGCCATCCCTCCGAACAGCACGCTGCCATGCGTCACGAAGCGTCTTGTCTTTCAGAAACCTGCGGTACCACACGCACAAAATAGGTTATTCAACTTCTACTCGCCAGCTGAAAAATGCTAATGAAAGTAAGTTTTCAGCTGAAACCGCGCTTCTCGAATGAGGTAGCGCGCCGAAGGAGACAAGCGATTGAAAGCGCTTTTTCCCGCGTACTTACACGTGAAAAGTGATTCCTGGCTTCTGCTTCGCACGATTAGTGCAGCCTAAGGCGACACACGAGCTCACCATAACGTCCGGAATCGTGTCAACTTCCTTTAGAACTGCACAAAATCCGCACAGAACAAAAGAACGAGGGACAAACGCGACAACTGTTGTTCAGTGGCGCGAACGGCGGGGGCCCAAACGACCGACGGCACGTTTTTTGCCTGGAGCAACATGGCGGCCATCGGCGTCACCAGAGGGCAGGCGCTTCCACTCCAGAAGTTTTTTTTAAACCTCCTTGAGTAAAACCATACAACTTCGCAAAAGAGTGACATTTTCTTCCTTCGATTTCCATTCTCCTCGGTGTCCTCTCCTTCGCACTCTTTTTTCGAACGTGCGCCGCCTGTTTGCTCCTGCGTAGCAGATGCTCTTACGCAGAAAAAGCATAGAGTAAAATATTTAAAACGACGAGAGGACATTTCCATAGGCCCCTGCTGCTGATTTAGGTTCGCAGTGCTCCAATAGGTCGCTGGGAGACTTCCCAGCGTCAGAGAGTGAAAACCGCAGAAACCGCATATCTTGAAGGCTATTTTCTAGGGATCAGGAATATTATACAGCTTCTGAGACCACCTCTATGTGCGTGTTCGTCTCTGAGGTCATAATTTACTTGTGAACGCGTGGTTTGCATGCATCAATTAGCTTCGTGTAAGCAGCACCACTAAGGCAGTAAGCACACGATGCCACTGTGTCTAGGCACACATTATAAATAAAGCATGAGAATTTTCGGAGGAGCGAAACCTTTTATTTTCAATTGATTTTATTGGTGAACGCATGCCCACTTTGGTAATGTTAGATGAACGTGGGCACGAAGATATATGTTCACTTCAATGCAAGATGCGGAAATACAGCTGCCATAATATGAGTATAGATTACACACACGAAATAATCAATAGGGAATGTTACAAGAAGGCCTACATAACAGTAATACTACAGTAAATGAACGCAACTACAGATAAAGTGCACAACCCAATACGACCGTAGTTGCTGCAGCACTTTGACTCCGGCATGAACCAAACAACAAAAAGAAAATGTTGACTACTTTTTTTCCCGCCTTCGCAAAAACTTCTTCCTACGCAGTTTGCAGCGCTCTTTCACAAAAAAAAACAGTGACAAGCAGTTGCCGCTTGTAACTGTTAGTTGTTGTCAAAAAATAAGAGACATGGAGGTTAACTTAGAAGAACTGGTTTAATACCCTGCACAGGGGAGAGGCAACAAGGGTTGAAAATAGGATAGAAATAGATAGCTAAAAATAAATTACCAAAAATACACATGTACCCACACACATGCAGGGTGCTCCGATCACAGTCGTTTGGAGAGGCCGGTGGAACGCAAGAAGCGCAGGAGCACGTTCGCAGCCTTTTTCTGCGACATGAAGTCCTGTCGTAGCGCAGGATTCTTTCTTCCGAAAGAGTCTGTTGGTCCAGCTTGTCTAGTGCATTGCAGAGTGACCTTCTCTGCGAGCAGTATTCTGGGCATTCACTCAAATATGCCAAGTTTTGTCGCTACCACAAAGGTCACAAGCAGCAGTGTCGTCCATTCCTATGCGCAACATGTACGCATTGGTAAATGCGACACCCAATCATAAGCTGCACAGCATAGTATCGTCTCGTCAGCGGAGTTGGGGGGGGGGGGGGGGTTTCAAAGACTGAGAGTTGGGTCTAAGGTACATAATCGTGTGTGGTTGAAATGTGACTCATTCTGATGTTACGTGGTGGGCTAGCGAGCAGGCATGTGGATTTTCCATGCATCGTCAGTTTCTGAGAGCGGAAACATTATTTTAGAGCAAAAGCATTGCTATAAAACCAAAGCAATGTAAAACGCTATGAATCTGATGTTTCGTAACCACGAAAGATCTTTCACGAGGGGGGATTTTGGCCATACTTCAACCACATCTTGGCCGTTTGCGCATAGGTCACTGTCTCAACGCTCTTTCAGGGAGCGTAATACGTATCTATACACAGTGAATATTATTTTGGGGAAATGTTTAGGTTTTTGCTGTTGTATAAATTCGCCACAACTCGCGAAGCAATTTTTTCATCTAGTTTCCCTCGCTTTGAAAAATTATAATTTTCTTGAAGTTCACGTCGTGGCGTATGCTTCGCAGAGCTTCGCGACAACGGAAGTTGCGCTCAGTGTCTTGTTCCCGATCGTCATTGATGGGCTGCCTTATTCATTCTGATAGTTTGCTTTTTTTTTCCTCTGGCCTATGCATGACTATAAGGCCTCTCTGCAACGTGGCAATAGTCTACGCTGATGAAATATCCGGGCTAGTTTTTAAACGACGAGTTTTCAAGTGTTCCACTTTACTTTAAAGTAGATTGGAGTTAGGAAAAAGGTTATTTTTACTCATCTCACTTTAATTCATTTCCTTTATATTAATTTCATACCTCTAAGGTCACACGAAAATATTGCATGGTGGGTTAAGAAAAAAAACAACGCTGCACGGTGAGTATGCTAAATAATGGCTTTTTGTGGCTGCTTTAAACTGAATGACATCAGTTACCATGCCAGTGCGGACAAGGTCATTCCAGTTATGTGCTACTGAAACTTTCTGAGGGGTTTTTGTATGACTGTGGTTGGGATATACGTCTTTGGAAGGACAATGGCGTGATGTTCAATGAGGTAATCAAATTCATTTTCTGGTGTCGAAATCTAGCGGTGTTAATGAAGCAGGGAATGAAATTTTACGGCGATAAGCAAGACGGCATATTATCAGCGAAGGCGGCCACCTTATGAAAACCACAACATAAAAATGAAAATTCTGTAATGCGCGCTGAATCGCTCGCCACTTGTTTCCGCAATCATACTGACGCCTCATTGAGCTTTGATAAATTATTATGTGGGGTTTAACGTCCCAGAATCGCCATGTAATTATGAGAAACGCCGTAGTGGAGGGCCTCAGAAATTTTTACCACCGTGGGTTCTTTAACATGCACCCAAATCTGAGCACACAGGCCTACAGCATTTTCGCCTCCTTTGAAAATGCAGCCGCTGCAGCCGAGAATCGATAACGCGACCTGCGGGTCAACAGCCGAGTGCCTTAGCCACTAGACCACCGCGGCATGGCTACTTGAGTGATTCAAGATAACGACTGTTGTTGCACGGTTCTGGTTGTCTTAGTTTGACGAGCATAAAAAGAACGTTAGAAAACTCAAGTTGAAGCTTTATAAGATTTTTTACTGTTTTTTGTTTCGCTTCATCAGTACAGCAGAGCAAATATTACTTGCGTCTTGTTAGCTTCACTGCTCTTGCTCTGTCTCTCTCATTGTAAGAAGGTTATTCTGTACACTTTTTGATTGATATGTGGGGTTTAATGTCCCAAAACCACCATATGATTATGAGAGACGCCGTAGTGGAGGGCTCAGGAAATTTCGGCCACCTGGGGTTCCTTAACGTGCACCCAAATCTGAGCACACGGGCCTACAACATTTCCGCTTCCATCGGAAATGCAGCCGCCGCAGCCGGGATTCGAACCCCCGACCTGCGGGTCAGGAGCCAAGTACTTTAGCCACTAGACCACCACGGCGGGGCTCTGTACACATTTTTAGTCACCTCGAACGATGAAAACTTTCCTTGTAGCTTTTTGATGCTAGTTTTCCAAGGGTACGCTTGCGTTTGAAAGTACCGCAGTGTTGCTGGATCAAAATACCGTTTGTCATTTGCAGGTCATTTCGCCGAGTGGGAAACGTTCACGAGGGCCCTGCTGACCTTGCACCGTTGTATTCATCACTTGCAACTGCACATCTCGGCTGTCACCCGACTTCCTGGACATTTCTACCAGACTTTGAGTTTGCAAGAAGGGACTGCACTTATCAAAATTGAAGTCTCTGCATTTGAAGATCCTTGCATGGACTTCATGCTGCCCTATTTGCAGTACTTGTGCCGAGTAAGGAACGCCCACATGACTTCAATATACGTTCAACGCAAACGTGCCCCACATCCTGACGATGTACCCAATGAAGTGTATGCTTCAGTGATAGTAGGGGAAGGACTTCCAGAACTCGGTGACATCAGGTAATTCTTCATCCTTACTTTTTCATTGTAGGTATAGGCAAAAAAAATTAAATTATGTTGCATAAAGAAACAACACCTAAATTATTCTGCAAGCACGAGAGCTCTAATTTTCTTTCTTACATGATATTTCATTTGCTAAGCAAGCAGTATTAATAGGCATAGCCATAAAGACCCCAACCATTTCTATAAAAGATGTTGAAAAAATCGTAGATGCGTTTATTGCATTCAAAATATAAACATCCAACAATATTCTTAAAACTGGAGTCATTTCTGAAAAAAAGCATACGCGCTTATTTAGTTGAGCCTTCATGTTTAAAATACGAGCTTGTTCTCTCTCGAGTTTTTAGAATTCAAGGTATTCGCTGCCACATTGGTATTCGTATAAAGGGCAGTATATTTTAATAGATAAGTTTGAATTTCAAAGGCAGATCTAGATGAAATTTTTCTGCGCTGAGTCAAGCAGTCATATTCCATTGTTAGATCGAGAGCACAAAATGTTTGTTCAAAAAGCAGGTTGAGAGCAACTGCAGATACCGGATTGCTCCTTAGAGCAAGAATTCTTGTTCCGCCGGAAACCGTGGGCCTTACACTGGAAGTTCGCGTGTAGTAGTATGTGCGCCCGCCTTTCATCCCTTCACCTCCATATGTTTAAAGTAGCGGGCAGCCATTGATGAGCAGGAAGACGCTACGCCCTACAGTGTATTAGAATGGGGCAGTGTGCTCATTGAACGGTAGAGAGTGACGCACTTTATGTCGTCGCTGACTGGCGGCGCGGTTTGCAGCGTCACTTGAAGCTTTTCGGTGGGTTGAAAGGTGCGGTTCTTGAGCGTGGCTGCTTTGCGCGTAAGAAAAGTTATGCTGCAAGTGTAACTGTTGAGCAATAAATTACTTCCATTGTGACTGATTTCCGAATGGTAGGAGATGTTTTTCAGCGAATACTGAATGGATGAATGCTCCTCCACACATCCAATGCAGTAACAGGGTGGGAAGCATTCAAGTTCTTTTTTTTATCTGGTAATCAATACGACGTGGAATAATAATTCGCCACTGGAGCGAAAACAGTTACTTCACTCCCGTCGTTCGAGCCCCGCTCTGCAAATAGTAACGCCTCATTTCCCTATTCTTTTTTTGCATATATAGCGGAGCTAATTGGAACTAACTGAATGTTTTTCTAAATCACCCATAAGTAGAATCACTTGGCTTTGTTGAATGTATCCGAGTCGTAATCTTAAGCTTTTTATTACACATGTAGATCATACGAGATTATCAAGACCGGTTGGACTCGTAGACAGTCATGGTACTAACGATGGCAACAAGAAATATCTATGCACATAGTTATAATGAGTACATAACAAGTAAAATAGACATCACGTGCGTCCACATAATTTCATTACACCATAGAAATGATTTCCACCGGTTTTTTAGCAGCGCGAATAGAACAGGACACAAAGAAACTCGCGAAAACATCTCGTGCTGACAATTTGAGTATTTTGCACAATTTCGTGTCTATGTACGCGCAAATGCTTGTTATATCACAATATAAATGAACAATGCAGGAAAATTCTCCCTCGTGGTTAAAGAATAAACAGAAGCTACAATCGTAAATATGCATTTGCTACTCAACCACAAAATGAAAAAAAATTCAAAGAATATTTATTGTGATTCCAAAACCTACCAGTACAGCCAAAGGCCGAAGATAGAAATGTCGTTACTGTGACCCCAATAAAAAATTATTAATGCGCGCGCAATAATTAATCCACGCATATGTGGTTGAAAGCGAGTGAAAAAAAATAGGGCGAAACAGTGAGACAACTCTCACAAAACCACCCAGAAAAGCGAATTTTGCACCATTTATTATGACTGCTTGGCGTAGATATCAGCCAAAAGTTGAAACACAAGAAGGCCAATCTCTAAATGTTCTACTGACCGATTTGTTTAGCTAAACTGAAGCATAATTTTGGCTTTCCGGTCACTGCCCTTGTGCTTTCTTGTTTTTCTTTGCTTTTTTATCAAACTTGACACAGCGGTCACTCACAGATGGGTTCAGCTCTTTTTGTCTCGAAAGACTGCCCTGAATATTTCTCTACATGAACATGGCGTGCTTTATGCTTGCAACTACCGGAGGCTGTAGATAGCGTACCCTTCCCATCAAGCTGCAGCAGCAGACCATTTTTGAGAGAGTCGCGATTTTCAGATAGACAGGGAGGCCGATTCTTCGGAGAAACATACACAAATCGGCACGTGTGGTACCGACAAAGGTTCTTCAAACGAATGAATGGCGTGAACATGCACTGAAGCTGGGCACACCCTAATAAAAACAGCTGCTTAAACTACTTGGGACAGTTAAATTATAAAATCAATTAGGTTAAAGACTCTTGACCCCTTCTATATATGTGTACATATAATTTTCAGTTCTTGCGCCATTGTGGAAGCCCTCCACCCACCTCCGACCCCGCGTGTAATACCACCCGAACTACAGCATAACCGCGACACCCCAAGGACGCGCGAACGCATTTCACACATCACCACAGAATGTTTCACGATGGATGGATGGATATGGCTGTACCCTTTAGATCGGGCGGTGGCTGGCACCACCAAGCCGTAATAATTAATGAACCAAAACTTAGATTTATTTTTTTCCTCTAAATGATGAGGTTGAGGATTCGTACTTTGTAGGGAAGGTTTTAATTTTCACTCGTGCCTTAACATTAGCCACCAATCAGATATCCTCCTTCTAGTTTATTTTACCCACTTAGCCTATTTTACCTTCCCTGGCCTTAAATCCCAGTGCTTTGAAAAACTCTGCGCCATCATCCTCAATTATAGTTGAAGCCCTTTACAGAATTATTATCAAGCAAATATTATCAGAGTTATATATATATATAATATCTAACACTAAATAATGCCCCTCGCAGGGGCATCTGTGCAAGCAGGTGTTTGGTGTGTAGCGACACCAAGGACTCGAGCTAACGGGGGGGTTTCAACTCCCTGCCACGCCCAGCCGTGCGTGGCTTTGCCGTGTCCGGAAAAAAGGGGATCCTGGGGGTTGAGCTCACGCTAAGTGCTTGGACCTATGGCCCCCCCGGCAGAGGCAACACACCCCTTTGGCCCAGGCTTCACGTAGACGGCACCCCTGGGCTGACCCACCCAGCTGAAATCGGCACACCGTTTCCTATCCCTCTCTACCTACAATTTTGTCTTTATCTCTCACATTTTATCTGTCCTGTCATCTTCTCTTTTCCGTTTACTGCCAAATTTTCTGGCGGCGAGGGTTAACCTTGTGTAGTTACCCAACCTTGCGTAGTTATATTTGGTTATAGCGGCTATGCATGGCTGGCGTTTCCAAGTGTTCACTATTCAACCTTGTAGCGTCCCATTGTTGAGCTCGGTGGTAGGTGGCCACCATCGCCATCGAATTTAAAATGCTCCTTATGGAAAACCCTTTTCCCGCACTCCCTGATCGCCGCCTGTAAAAGTGGCGCACCGATGACAGCTTCTTTTCTGCACAACAAAAACAGACCTTCCCTGAGTACCATGTAATTAACAGCCAAAATGAAAAGAAAACAGTTCGATCCATTTCACCATTTATAGTCTCAAAAACGCTCACAGATGCCATTGGCCGTGGCTATAAAGTAACTAAGATGGGGAATGGCGATGCCCTTTTAGAAGTTTGCGACATGACTCAGTACGACAAGCTCACAAAACTCTTATCATTTGATAACATCCCAGTATCAGTGGACCCTCTTAGATCGATGAACACAGAGTGCGGTGTCATATTTGATGATTACCTCCTCGAGCTGTCTGAAAGTAAATGACTCGATGGCTGGCAGGAACAAAATGTAGTGAAAGTACAAAGAATAACAATCAGCGAGACAATAAACAGACCCATTAAAGCACATCATAGTTAACTTCGGTACAAGCAACCTTTCTGACTCCGTGGAAACTGGTTACTGCAAGCTTCGTGTCAGACCTTATATACCAAATCCTCGCTGATGTTTCAAGTGTGAGCGCTTTGAATACGGATTCGAAATGTGCAGAGGGCGCGCTAGGTGCGCGAAGTGCGCATCTTATGAACATGTATCCGAAAAGTGCACTTCAGAAGCCTGTTGCGCAAACTGTGAAGGACATCATAATGCCTACTCCCGATCATGCCCTGCATGAAAAAAAGAGAAACAAATATTAAAACTTAAGGTCAAGTTCAACCTGTCATTTCAAGAGGCACGTCAGCGTTTTTCTACACAAAATCATTCCGAACCTTCCTTCGCCGACGTGGTGCATCGAAGCGCCGTGCCACGTTTTTCGTCAACCGCGAGATTCACACCAAGTGTGACTGCGGTTGTGCCGGAAGCGCTCCAGCTGGAGCAGCCCATATTGCTCCGCCTCCTGTTCAAAAGAACCAGCAGACTTCAGAGTCTGCTGGACCCCGGACCACTGCAAGTGCAGTCAGGTCCGAAACTGCCATGAACGTGCCTGCCAAGCAGGCACCATCCGCCACCTCAGAAGAGGTGATGGACACAAGCCATACTCCTCCAGCGCCCCAGACGCCAAAGGAAAGGCGCAGCTCTTGGAGCGAAACATTAAAAGAAACACGTATAAAAGGGCCCCAAACAGGCCATGTAATCTAAGGCAACGTTTCTGTACACACATCACTTAACTACATTAAAAATCGAGACGCAACTTTTACAGTGGAACGTCAGAAGACTCCTGAGAAACCTTGATGATGTTCAAGAACTTTTGCATAAACAGTCGCCAAGTGTGCTGTGTATACAAGAAACACACCTAAAACCCAAGATCACTAGTTTTCTACGCCAGTATATCATTTTTTGAAAGGACGGGAATAAAGCCGTCACGTCATCTAGTGTGGCCATTATAGTCAGTTAACCACTCATCTACCACTCGAAACATCTCTTGAAGCAGTGGCTATTTGTGCAGTTCTTCTGAACAAACTCGTCACCATCTGCTCTGTCTACATACCTCCACACTACCATCTTGAAAAACGT